GTTCCAAAAATCATTTGAGAAATGGTGAATGCATGAAAAATAATGTTTTGTTCATTTACATTTTTCTAATTCCCCTTTTAGTCATACAATTATTTGTACCCTGTACCATTGCTTACATCTTCCTTCTTGTCAGTGTAAAAAGCCACTATCTCGCTTCCTTACAGACTAACAAACGGATCTTCTGAAAATTTATTTTTCATCGATTTCTTCAAAGTTTCTACAAAATTCTAATGCGAACTTCAATTCCTTCATTCACTCAAATGCGTAACTGAAATTGGAAAAGAATCCTACTTATTTAAACTTAATCTTCATAAGTAAAATTCAAAAAACATTTTCTGTTTGAGAACGTTGGAAAGGTCTGTAATAATGATATTAAGCATCCTTGTTCTCGTTAAAACTCCATATAGTAATAAACTACACGTATTAAACTGATTTGGAAGCCTGTAATTAACATTGTTACATTATTAAGATCGCTTAGAATTCATCTAATCAATAACTCGAGTGTTGGCAATCTTGATTCCATTTATGTATTTTATTGACGTTCTTAATTTACCTTAAATTAATTTTATAAGTCAAGTCTTTTAAGTCTAAGTCTAAGTCTTTTAAAGGATAATAGTCCCAGCAGCTGCGGTATTATTGTCAAACGTCGCAAGTGCTTTCTACTCGTAATAGCACTACTTTCGTCATTTTTTAATATTTAACTATCTATCGTCTTGATTCACCTTGCGGTTATTGTAGATAATATTAACGACTGCAATGTTACCCAGATAATAAATTACGAAAAAAAAATAATTAAACAATCAGTATATTCTAAAATACTCTTGCGTGAGTAATGTTGGTTTATATCTATGATATATATATGTTTTTACATATATAGCTATGTTACATAGCTTCGCGCATAGATATAAATAACCAGGCGCACAACACAGACAGGTGGTTCAGGTTATATGAACCCGCCGGCTTGGTGTGACCGCGAAATTATTTTCAAGACTACACCAACCTCGAGCGCACACATACAAACGACTTCATCCATTCGCACACACGTCTCACTACTGATGTGCGAATGTAGTGGTAGTCGTGAGAAACTTGCTCTTCTATACCAGAATGGCACATAACCTAGACCCGTGAGAAAGAAAATGAGCTCTAGCAATAAGATATACTGGTTAAATTCGCTACTTACAAAAAACTTGTTAACGTCATTTCATTGACACGATGCGTATGGTAAAGTTGCTATCTTGTTCGTAATGTCCGCGAACGGAGGTACATTCAACTTTTAGCCCAGTAAACTCTCGGAGTTCGTTCACCCACTGCTTGTCAAATGACGTAAAGAGAGCGAGATGGGTGAAGCGAGATATAGCGGCGTCCCTGTTGCGCGGTATGTTCAAGTTTAGAAGTTTTTATTGAGCGCATGGCTGTCGAAATAGTTTACTTTGGTTTTGGTTATGCTCTCCTAGTACATTTGACGGTTTACGTTGGTTGTATCGATAGATAACGTGACTTGATGAGTTTGCGTCACGTTATCAATTTATCGATGATTTGTTTGGACGGCCATATCGAATGTGTCGAATTTTAAGTTAGTACTTTGATTACTTATCAATTATGGGTAAGATTAATGCATTTATAAAGAAAAGCCAGACTTAAGAAAATATATTGTTTAGAACTTTACATCAGAAATGCTTCAGGATTCTGAAGATGTTGCTTAAAAATCAGATGCATTTACATTTTTTAAAATCAAAGCTTGAACAACTTATGTGAAAATAATTGATGCACTCATTAAAATAACTTGCAAATGTATTTGTAAATTTTACTTATGCAAAATGCCGATTTTAATCATTTGCTTTAAGATATAATCTTTACATAATATTGCATTTGGTTTCACACTTCAAAATTTCATTTTGATCATCCGGGCATAAAATATACGATTACTTATTCTTGACTCAGGTATTAATTTTAAATAATTTTGATGTTATTTACACACACACAAAATAATAAAACGTAGTTTGATGTCATATTATGCTATCAGGCGGTACATCATTTTAAGCAGTGGAAAAATACGGCTTCTTGTAGTTGTCAAGTGTTTTTTTTATGACGCAGTTCGTTCGGAATACAAATCAAAAAAATAACATCTTATAATCAGCCAGATGTTTTATTTAAAGGAATTTTAAAGGAGTATTTGGCTACTGCTATTGGCCTTCTTGGAGTTCTTAGTGTCTATTATTATATTATCTAGTTATTTTGTAGAACTTCGTTGAGGAACTGGCGTCCGGTCTGCCTAATGGCAAGCAGTTACCGGTGCCTGTAATGCGGTAATCTACTCTCAGGTTAGTTACTTCCTCTTTTGGTATAGCTAATTGTATGAAACACATTTAGAAAAGTGACACTTTTTCATTAAACGGAAATCTATGAAACTCTATGTCTTTACTCTATAGCACAAAAAAGTGTTATAGTTAACTTAATCGAGTGGCAATCATTCCACTAGTAATTTTACTCCCGTTTTTTTTATGACTTTATGCACAACCTATATGTGGCAGACTTAATGGGAAGTCAGTACAGTAATTGTTAATACCCATGTACTGACTTCCCACTAAGTAAGAAGAAAAATAAGAAATCGTCCACTGTTTCATATATCTATCTCTAATATTGTAAATCTACTTCTACCGACAGGGAGAAATATATAAATATGTTTATCAGCAGTCTGGTTACCATAGTACAGGCTCTGCCTAGTTTGGAATCAGACGGCCGTGTGTGAGATGTGTCAAGTTATTATTATTATTATTAGTTATGGGTAGAGATAGATAAATAAAATATTTTCCATATACGGTGGGTGTAAATTATTTTGTATATTATCAATAATACGTGTTAACTAACTGTTGTAAAAAATCCTAATAGTATATCTACTAGTGAAAAATGGATGTACAATTTAAAGTCGTAGATGAGTAGGGATCGTGGTAGGGATAGATGGAAAAATCAAGTAGCGAGAATATATCGATATGTATCTATGGGTGGAATCAGTTTAAATAGACCATACTTTTTGGTATCATAACTTTGTTTCTTGTTGTTATCTTAACCATTTCTAAATAAAAAAGTAAATGGGCAAAAATGTTTTTCTGGTACAACAAGGTGAAACTGGTTTTGTTGTTTGGAGTTTATTTACTAAAACTTGAATGAATAAAAGAGGGAAGGGTCACATATTTTAAGAAACATCAAATTGAGAAATGTTGCCCACGTGGAATCATGTCTTCGTTCACTAATATAGCTTGACCTCTCTTGTTTTCCGCATTCCGTCTTGAATTGGATGATTTACGGACGGAAGTTAGTACTCCTGAAGCTCATGTGTTCCTGGTTGTGTTAACGCTGCATTGTCTATGTTTACTAGGTGGGTGTACCGGTTTTTTTAATAGTAGGTGTTCAATTCTTCCAAACATTGTGGTTTGGTCAACATTTCACAAGCACAACTTTATGTAGCTACATATTTGTTTTGTAACTTATTCTGAATGGGCAACAGCATTTTTGTTCAATGGTTTCTTAAAAGTTTGTTTAGCCTTTTATTGCTTAATATAAAATGCCAATAAATTCACAATGTGTTCGTGATTGGTTTGAAATATTGAGTCGGACTACAAAGGCAGTCTTTAAAAAGCAGGTCCAATGAATTCCAACCAGTTTGTTTTTAACACTTGCAACATTTCGGTATTCCATATTTGAATAGTAAATTCTGCCATAATTACAGATAAGGTAATGCTGAAACAAGTTGAATATCGCAAATGTGATCACGCGAATTACCAAGATCTCAGCACCTCCTCGAATGTATATGTTCCTAGTACCTTGCTGACTAATGCTAGCCTCTGCTTTCTTTTACAATCGACAAACATTAAGTGATGTTTAAATAAAAACACTTCAACTAAAAATAGATTTTATGGTATGGTATTAGAATTTAAAATTGCATTCCTTAAAGAGAGTTTATGGTTGTCGTTGCAAGTGCTGGTACAGAATTATTTCTTGCGGTTGAAAAGTGAAGCTTTGTTTTAATTTTATTATAGATAGAGTTTATTTCAACTGTAAACGTAGGTTTAGATGTCTAAGCAGACTGTGACGACGACACGTATAGATTTGCGGATACTCGGTGGCAATCCAAGTGATTGTTTATTTTTGTTATTAAGAGTTAAAGAGCTTCCACGCAAATAAAGGGATAATTTTAGAGAAAGGAGATTTAAGAATGTGATTTTCTTGAGTATGAAATTTTCGTATTCAGTATATATATTATATTACATATTGTAAATGTGAAATGTTAATTTGTAAATGACTGTATAATAATGTGACTTTTGATTTTACAGTTGAATTAGCTGACAACCTAACAGTTATAGTGACCATGCCGATAAACCTTACAGTTTTGACGGTGTCACTTGTATGTTGCCCACCCTATCTTAGCTCTGCTGCAGCTCTGGTGACTCTAATCACCAGAAGAAAAGGACAGAACTACCTAAGCGGGAGGAGATATCTTTATATCACAATAGATAAGAAGTTGTCTCTCATAGACGTATTATTGTTGATTACTGAAGTTGTATCGTTCTATGTTATGTGTTCTATGTTGTATGTAAGTGTAAATGTAACTGACGATGGCGTGTTGGTGTAATTGTGGTTTTAATTCAAGCCAACAAGGACAGGAGTGAGACAGCTCAGGCCCTTTGAATAAGTTGAAGGGAGGGGGGGTCTTTGACTTGTATACTCGTAAGCAAAATTTATGATGATTGTTTAAGTAGTTACGGCGTCAGTCTTACAGACGAACTTTCACATTAGACTATTAGTTAGGATTAGAATGAGAAGCGTACTATAAGGTAACTTTTTTCGACTTTTCATCTTGGTTATTTACTTCATCAGGTATTTTATAATGTTAATTCATTGTTGCAGTAGCGTTCGTACTAATGAATTAACAAAATAGTCAAGAACTCAACACACGTTGCGTTATAACACAACCGCCTATCCAATTTCCGCCCTCAACAGGATTATGCAACAATATAAGAAGTCGCGAAACATGTCACTTGAGCGGTCATTGAACTTTTAGCCCAGTGCTGGTAGACGTGCAAGTTAGGCGGGTGCAGGAAGAACGTGTTTAGATTGATGCGCTCCTGGTAGGGTTGGTCGGCCATGATGAGTAACATTAATTTTTTTTCGCCGAAAAAACACGCTTCGGGCATTGTCCATATTGATGACTTAAAAGCAAAAGTCTGACATTGATAGGTGTCATCATCATGCTTTAAAGTCGACAGCATCTTTGCGTAGAGCAGTACGCTTACATCTTCAGAAACCACATACAATTAATATTGACTAGAAAGAATAACAGTCAAATAAATAATTTTTGAACGTTGTAGGTTCTTTAAAATAAGAGTATACTATAAGTATGTATGTACACGTTCATGTTTTGAGAGTCGACAAGACCGCGCAAGTGACGTAAAATCGGTGTAGATACGTTTTTAGATTCATGAGTTCTTGGTAACTTTAGTTATCCATAGAGTAAAATTCGCTTTGTATTTTTTGTTATCATTTGCCATGGTCCAGTGATGACGTCCATCGACAATAGAACACGCTCAAAATATATTCTTTTTTATGAACTTGTTAACGAAAAACTTCATGCAGATATGTATGTTAATACAAACACACACATAGTTCAAGGTGGCATTTATATAATCAGTAATGCCACAATAACAGGCGCAGAAGACTAACCTTCGTGCGCAATTTAATTAATTTTTTCATTTATTGTTTACAAAGAGAAAAAAAATACAGTGACTTATTACACACACACACTTTAACATTAAGTACTAGCTTTTAAGTCAGTTATCGCGGTAAAAAGTAGCCAATGTGCGCTTTTTGCCTCGCACTACCAACCTGTGGACCAATACGACCTTCAAACTATTAAGAAAAGATATAACTCCTTCCTCAAAGGCCAGCAACGCGCTTGTTACTCCTGAGTTGCAAGCGTTCATAGGCGGCAGTTGTCGTTTTCCATCTGGTTACCCGTCTGCTCGTTTGCCCTCTATTCCGTAAAAAATAATCAATATTTTGGGAGGGAGGTAAATTGTTAAAGAAATCATTCTAATGTATTTATTGACTGCAATAACGAAATAAAACAAGCAAATTTATAGTTAACTTCGCATGAATCGTAATTATGGTGGAAGGTAGTTGGGTATCTGATTAATTTCTTTACGTGTGTGGATAAAAAAAGGAACTTTGCTGCAATTGATAGATAGCACTGCTATTCCCCCTTTACCCCATTCCCCGCACCTTTTTAAATGGTAGAGAAAAATCACATACATCACATCATTAGGATAAGAGACCATTTTATCATCACCTTGCCACGTTTGCTATGCTGACGCTAATGATGATGTGACGTGTGCGGTGTCTGGCTAAGAGATATATCTTGTTGGCAGGCGTGTAGTGCAATAGACTAGGTGCAATAAAACGTCTGCAAATTATGTTCTCCTGGTAGAATTACTAGAAAGGTATTCGGAGTAAAATCATAAATAGTATAAATGTGGTACTAGGTAGTAGTACCTTCGATGAGCTTATTAAATACAAAAAAATGTTTGTTTTGTCATTTAAAAATTCATTTTCATTCATCTAAAATAAGGCATTCTTGATAACCCGCTTGTAGCTGGTTAAAACTATGTAAAATAAAAAAAATAAGATAGGTTTGCCTAACCTATCTTATTTTTTGTAGGTAGATTAGTAGTTAGTAGTTTAGGTGTGACACATAATATATAAACTAGAGATGCCACGAATATTCGGCAACTAATCGGTATTCGGCTATTCGGCCATTTCTTTTCACTATTCGGATTCGGTCGAATATTGCGAATTATTCGGCCGAATAAACAATCATGAAAAAAAGTATGCATAATATTACTCGCAAAGATTTTGCTTTTACCAATAACTTATCATGCACTCATCAGCAAAAGATTGCGCTTTTCCTCATAAATTATACCTGCTTCGGCAAATAGCCGATCATTGTAAACACTGCTTTGTAAACAAATAAATCTTAGCAAAATCTCTTAGGTTAGGATATTATATATTTGAATTTTTGGGATAGGTTTGATCGTTTAAAAATTACTGTATACCAAATACTAGTCTCGTATTTTATTCTATAAAAATATTAATATAATTGGATGTGGAATATCAACTACTAATGTTAAATTGTTCGACAGTCACTTAGTGCCGATATCGACATTCAGCAAATGTTCATATTATAAGTAAGTAACTACTGATTATAAATCCCACAATAAAAGTTAGCATAATGATTTACATATAAAGAATGTTACAAAAAGGTTTTGTCAAATTTTAGAAACGTTAAAAATGTTTTTTTCTGTTTTATAAAATTGATAGCGTCTCATGTTACTATACTGTTATGGTCTACTTAAAGCTAACCCAACCTAAATATGCATAAACTTTTGTGTTGGTGCTACCACAACATCTGTACCTCCACAAAACATATGAGCAATACTATTAAAAATATCAAATACTACGAGTACTTCTCTTGTCACCCCTGAGTAAGAGACGCTTAGTATCGAGCTGATCAGACTCAGCATCACGCGTACGGTGATACCGATGGTAAATTCTAACGATCTCTTCTCGATTGTGTCAACTCGATATCAACTGATACATCCTACTTGCTGATAACTTTTAAACACATTCATTTAGTAGCCTGATATCGAGACGTATAGTATCTGAAGATAAAAGTCTACAAGACATTGCATAGTCAGTGCTCCGCTCGTAAGCATCCTGTGACTACTTTAAGCAAAATATTTTATTTACATTCATATAAACATTTAATTTCTTCAACGCATTCAATATTTCATTACTTTTTCTGTCTCATGTAGGTTTTTTCAGTAATAATTATTAATATTATTAATTTAATTATTTAGTAATTATTAGACTAAAGTCTTAAAACTATAACAGTGTCATGTCAAAACAAAATACTTTCGTGACTACAGAGTTGTCTAAAACGAACAAAAAAAATTTCAAAGATGTTGGAGAACTTTAGAACAATATCAATATGTATAAGAATCGTGTTGTTTATGTTTTAATAGTAGTGATTGATTTCACCATCAGAATTAACAAGTAATAGGATAATCCTGAAGAAGATTTAAGCCGTTAAAAGCATGAAATATTCGTATGCTAGAAGACAATTATATTTACTTTAAGTTTGTGGCAAATAGAAAAAAATGCAAATAATATATAATTTTTATATCATTCGTATGAGTAATCGCATCCCTTTCTGTATGTACTAACGTAGTGGCGCTACGAATCCGTAGACTTTGACTACGAAAATTGCATAACTGTGGAACATAACATCTTCAAAAGTGGCACTAACATTTTTTGTCTTTTTCCATCTTAGTTTTTATAGGTTCATTTAAATATGACTAGACCAGGAAAGCATAACAATAAAGTACCTTTTGTAATGTAAGATATATGGGAAAGTGAATGTGAGTATTCTGTTTATAAATTGTGTATTAAAATGAATTAGTCTGAACCTCGCCTTTTCTCACTGCTTATATTTCTTTGGTAAATAAATGTAACAGCATTAATTTTATGGTGTAACTATAAATACTGGACTTGATGGTAACTTTAATAGGACGACGAAACTAGAAGACCAATACAGAGTACGGCCGGCATCTTTCATCTAAATAGCAACTGTTTTATATGGATGGTTTCGTATTAGGACTTTGAATCGATAATTGTCATTAATTCAGATAAAACTATTAAGTCGAATATTCTAATAAGTACTATTATATTAATTTAAAAATACAAATAAGATATTTGCAAGTGATGTTACTTTGATTTGGGAAAAAATGTTTGTAACCATAGACAATTAAGGTGCCAAACTGGATTACTGGTGATGTACTTAGACCATCTTTGGTGTTTCATCTACGTATTTGTAAGATTTTTTTAACCGTCACATGTAATAAATCATTGTCTGGACTATGTGTTTCAAGGCTCAAAGCCACTAAAAACATACTGACACTGATGTTATCAAGCTAGTGGCCGATTAGTAAGCTGGTGGTAACCGTCAATCAATATCGTTCTTTTTTTAAATGTATAAAAATGCTGCCATTACGTTGCCATTCTGTGGGCTAAGTGCGAGTTTTTTTCACATCAATATCACGATAGCGGCGTTGTCATAGGTCCGCGCTGAACTCTATACCAATCACAGCGCCGAACGTGGTCACCGTGACGATCGAGTCGAAGTGAAATAAACTTACACTTGGACCTTTGTATTTGAAAAATAAAATAGAATGTTACATTATATTTTTATTTCAGACTAGTAAATTTAAAATTTAGAATTTAACGACTATGCAGGATAATGACCCTGAGCAGTAGCGGCGGTGTGCACAACTAAACTTCTTGTTTTCTTTGCTTTAAAAGAATGAGTTGCAGTGAGTGGTAAAGATAATTAAACATTTCAGTATTATAATTTTTTGTCTCTGCATTGATAGTGACATATTATTTGTATTAAGCTTCAGATTTAATCTTGTTACATACTGAAGACTATAAGATTTTTTTTAAGATTGTTTACCTTTACAATAAAATTTAAATTATAACTAGAATACCAATATTTCTTGATAATTCTTGACGTACCTACGTCAGTAGATGGTATGAAGTTGTGTGCTTACTTTTTTAAATGTTGAATTTAGGCGCGAATGCCCTTTTTACTTCTCTGAACGCGGAAATGCAAAGACATTTTTAAGAAATGGTCCCGTCAAGCCGGTTATGTTGTTTTAAACTGATTGTAAAAAAACTTGTACTAAAATGTATGCACAAAAGAGATCCCCGATACCAGGCTTACATAAGATGATGGAGCTTGTCCAGTCATACGAGTCGGCGACTAGTTCTACAACCAAGCCTCATTAAACATATCGCCTACGCACTCACTCATACCTACACAAAGTTTACTAATTGCAAATCCATCTCTTTCTTTAAGTTTCATTTACGTCAATTACATTGGCGATATTCATCAAGCAGGTGTCGCTGATCAAATGATAAATTATAACATTTTATTATCAATTTGTCTGCGCTTCGATTCCGGGCGAACGTGTTATGAATTCATTGAAACTGATTAGATAGAGCTGTCTCTTTCTGACCCAATAACACGCAGACAAACAAAAAGTTCGTTTACACTCAAAATTTAAACAAGGAATTCGGTTTTCGAAAAGCGTTTGGAACATGTTGATTCTATTCAAACTCGGAAGTGACGATCGGGCTCACTAACGCAAGTGAGTTA